CATCATTTTCCGTACTCTCCCCATAATCTCTCCTTTAATTATTTGTTTATTAACACTAATGAACTCATAATATTAGTTTATTGCTTCTTTAGTCTAGTGTTAAAATCTAATCATAAATGCGAATTCATTCCCGTTATCTAAAAACACCTTTTATGGTACATTAAGAATGTTAATGTTGTATAATTTATAACAATTTATATATATATATATATATATATATATATATTTTTATTTATTTATTTAAAAGTATATAAAATAAAATGTGTCAATATAAATAATTAGATAACTCAAATAGGCATACACCATACGAATAATATGGTCCCAAAAGATCCCTAATGAAATTAGAATAATTGTTCAAAATTATTTTATCGATTCGCATATCTTGATAAATTCCATATTTGAAACGTAATTAATTTTTTTATATTTAATGTTATTTTAGCTAACTTGACAAATCAAACAACTACCTTGTTGGACACAGAGTTACGGCATAATAATGATAATATTAATGAGTACATTTTATGCCCTCTACTATGAAAAAAATGTCATAAATACGGACACTTGGTTCCCTGAGCTGCTACACACAAAAAAACATGTTGGTAAAAATGAAATAACTTTTCCTTATATATTCCATTGTTTCCAATATGTATTTTACATCCAAATAAAAAAAAAATTGGAAATAATATGATTAATTTTTTTTATTTTTAAACACAGACGGTTTTATGTTGGGTGTGTTATTTTATATGTCTCATATTCATGCATAGTTAACTTTCAATTTCATACCAAGACTGTCCAAGTTTAATAACTTTCAGAACATACGACCAAATCATCCATGTTATACACCATTAGAAAGATAATTTTGATATCTACGAAACGATATCAAGAACATGCAATTCCGATAACGGTATAGAAAGTTATGTTCAAACCAACATCATTATATCAATATGATTTTTGTTTTAAAACCGGAAAACCAAATCCGAACCCACGGCGAACCGTGTCTCCTTAAGGAAATTATTCCCCGCGCGGTACCTACGGTTAATGGAATATATCCTCCCAGGATAGGACGGACGTACCTCACCGGAACAGTGGTACTTTAAACTCCGGTGCCTTGTCGAACTCAAAGCTCGGTTTGAATCACAAAGGAAAAAAGATGATTTTCTTTCTTTTGTAGAAAGCTTTTGTGTTTTTCTTGATGTTCTTGTTGTGTCTAAAACATGAAAACAATCCTCCTATTTATAGGATTGAAAACTTGTAACATTTTAAAAAAAACCATAAATATATGTAAGTTTTGTAAATAAATTGGAGAGTAACTTATAAAAATATCTCTATTCATTTAATTTAAAAAGAAAACTCCAACAATCATGAGGTCGGGAGTAAGCAATATGATTAGAATTACGCTCTCTTCATAATTTGAGGTTCGAACTCGGGATGAGACAGACGCCTTGCGTTTCCATTTCATTGGTTGAGTTAACGAAGTTGGGTCAGTGCTGCATATGTTATTAAGACAAATCAACGAAAAATAAATTAATACGTGCATGGTTTTAAATTTTTGGTAGAATAGCCTTGTTATTGTTTCGAAAATTAATATTAATACAAGCATTAATTAATATTTTTTTCATACGAAGCATTAATTAATATTACTAATATACACGTTACAATTATAAGTTTTGTACAACTGATTATGGCACAACACAAAACACTTCCACGTACCAATAATTAAAATTACTAATATATTGAACGTACACATGTTCATATATGCATGCATGCAACATATGAGATATTTGAAGTACGAGAACTTTTGTGAATGCATGTTTTTTTTTTACGAATTTAAAAATGTATGGAAACTCAGAATACACAAAATGCATATAACATATCAAACACATTTTTTTTACAAAAAAAACTCGTGAATCAAATAACAAGGAAGATATATACACCCATCTAATGATCTTTGGATGACAAAATCACTTCAAATTATTGGATTCGATTCCATTAGTGAAAAGGATGTGACACGATTAATTGCGTGACTAAATGATAATTTCGGATTGAGAAGATTAAATGGGGCGAAGGTTCAGTGAAACTTGTGGTTATAAAAAAAAAAGAAGATGTATAATATAAACGTGGTGAATGCATGCAAAATGGCAGAAATGAAGGTTGTGGAAGCAGAGAAGTGTGTGTTCTTTGAGCACAGTTTATCAATCGACGGTGTGTGACGACAGGCAGTGCAGCGATGTCTGTCAGAACGGAGAAGACGCCATTGACGGCGAGTGCATGACCATTAAAGCTCCTGGTGGGCCCCAGTTTCCTGAAAAGGGTTGTTTCTGTGGCTACCAGTGCTCTTAATTCAAAAAAAAAAAAAAAGAAAGGGTTTGAATATACATACATATATATATATATGACCTAAACATGCAACCTACGTATACTACGACGTCGTATTCTGTCTTTTTATACACGATTTGGATTCTCTCGTGTTTGTCTTTTGTTACAATAAAACATTCTATAGAAGGATATATTTGTATTTTTACAATCTGTAATTAGGGTTTAGTATTAGTATAAATATCTCACTAATGTAACTAAATTATTCATTCAATAACACAAACATTATAAATCCACTGGCGCCTTTGTTGTTTTCCTCGGTAGTCATCCTGTTGCTTGGTCCTCCAAGAAACAACGTGGTGTTGCTCGCTCTTCTACCGAAGCTGAGTATCGCTCTGTTGCCACCACTGCTGCTGAGGTCCGTTGGATTGCTTCTCTACTCACTGAACTTGGCCAGACTTCTTCTGGTCCGCCGGTTATCTATTGCGATAACATTGGGGCCATGTACTTGAGTGCTAATCCGGTCTTCCACTCTCGCATGAAGCGCATTGCGCTCGACTATCACTTTGTTCGTGGTCTTGTTGAATCCGGTGATCTTCAGGTTTCTCATGTCTCTGCCTCCGATCAGCTTTCCGATGCTCTTACAAAGCTCTTGCCTCGTTTTCCGTTTCATGATCTCTTTGTCAAGATTGGAGTCTCCTCCGGTGCTCCATCTTGAAAGGGCGTATAGAAGGATATATTTGTATTTTTACAATCTGTAATTAGGGTTTAGTATTAGTATAAATATCTCACTAATGTAACTAAATTATTCATTCAATAACACAAACATTATACATTCGTGGTCTTTGCGTGAGATCCTGTATCTGGTTGTGTGTTTGAGAGTTATGTCTCTCTCTCTCTCTTCATGTAATCCTTATATTTTCTTTTTGTCTGTTTCGATTGATGTGTGTGATGTAGTTAAATGCAATATTTCCCCTTTTTTTTCTGTAATTTCCGGCCTTGGAATGTAAATCTATACGTATATAAAAAAATCTATACGTATATGCTCACAGTTGGTCAAATGGGGTTTAATCCAGTATTTTAAATTTAAGCTTATGAGAAGAAAGAATTACATAATCCGCAGGTAAAAAGTAGAATGTGAAACCATAATCCTTTCTGTAATTCTTATATTTTCTCAAGTAGAATTTCCTTTAATTTCTATAATGCATTTTCTACCGACCGAATCCTGAAATCTCAACTCTCGCGTGAAACACGTGTAATTAGGGGAATTTCAGTGACCGTTGATGGGCCTCATAATGGGCTTTATCTGAGCCCAACTATTGTTATGGTTAAATAAAATTTTTTGAATAGAATAGGCTTTATTAACGGCCCAATATTAGTTTACAGACTCGGAAAATCTTTATTTATAATAGCAAAACCCTAGGCTTACTAGCTTCCTCTGCGATATCTCCGTGAGATCTGTTTGCCCTAATCTTCTCGGCCGTTTGATTCTCCATCTCCGTCGAAGACACTATGGTTTCTCTCTCTTACTCTATGTCAAATTTGTTTTTCTCCCCGTCTCTCTGCTACTGAGATGCTGATTTGGTTTTCGGTGATTGCAGGCGCCGAAAAAGGACAAGGCCCCGCCGCCGTCGTCGAAGCCGGCGAAATCCGGAGGTGGCAAGCAGAAGAAGAAGGTCGATGCTTTAAATTGTTCATTTGTTCACTCCATTATATGATTATTTGTACACCATTGGTATGTTGTAGGCGTTTCGGTTCACGCGTATTTTTTTTTAAAATCTTGTATGGGGAATTTGATTGGCGACGTGATTGTTTCTGCTTTGTAATTGTTCACTTTCCACGAGCATATTGACGCATCTTAGAAATTAGGTCTCAGTGTTCCCATTGTTCTTTTTTTTTTCTGGGCATTGTTCTTCATGAGCGCACTCTCGGATTATCTGTTCGTATATGCAATTTGTGTATGCGTGTGTGTGGTATTATGTGACACCAATCGTGGTTTTGTTGGTATATGTATTCATTTTCTCTGCTCTTTTGCGTTTAGATCACGTGAATAAGTTGGTTTACTTTTCTCTGGTGTGCCTGGTAATAGGCTTCTCATGTTGTTTGTGCTAAATTGTGGGTTGTGTAATATGTAATGCAACAGAAGTGGAGCAAGGGAAAGCAAAAGGAGAAGGTGAACAACATGGTGTTGTTTGATCAGGCCACTTATGACAAGCTTCTCTCTGAGGCACCCAAGTTCAAGCTCATCACCCCATCAATTCTTTCTGACCGTATGAGGGTATGTGTATTCCTTTCTTCTTTTATTTTTCTGCCTCTATTTTACGATCGTATTGTAGTGGTTCACCGTTAGATGCAAGTTTAGAAATTGTTCGAGAGGTTCTGAATCCAGCTTCAAATTTTCTTATGTCAACTATCAGTAATGGCTTTTATGGATCCATTCAGCATCAGTCCTTAATATGGAATTCCCTGGCATTCGAACAATGTGTTTAGAGTTTGTATTTTGTTCTTACTAAGAAATTTTAGATCTTGAGAAAAGCCCTAATGGTTGGGTGTTATGCTTATGTACAAGCAACCTATAAATCTCCGGCATGGAATCCTGCATGCATACAATTTCCATATCCTTTATTGAACCCTTTTTGATCCATTGCGAGTCGTTAGCTTATGATTGTGAAGGGCCCGGTTAAAGTATATGATTTTGATGTCTATATCTGAAATGTTGGTGTAATTCTGACAACAGATTAGCGGGTCACTTGCAAGGAAGGCGATTCGGGAGCTCATGGCAAGAGGGTCGATCAGGATGGTGTCTGCACACTCCAGCCAGCAGATCTACACCCGTGCCACCAACACCTGAGATTTTGGGTTCTCTAAAGTGTTCGATCATTTCACTGGGAATTTTACATCTATCATGTACAAACATCAGATCCGTGTTTTTGTTGCATAATTATTCGTAGAGACCATTATCTCAACTCCCCGAGTGTTTCTATGACATCTTTTCCCCATCCATCGTTTGATCCGTTCGTTTCTTCTCAGAAGAAGACAGTAGTAGTTCAAACTGTGCATTCTATAATACACAGAATGGTTTCTCCTAGGGTGGGTGTTTCTGTTCCGTTTCAATGAATCGTACCGTTTCATTTGAACCGAATTTTTTGGAGCTGGACTGAATTTTTTAAAATTTTTGAAAAAATAATTTTTTTTAAACATAAATCTAATTTTTTTTTAACAAAAATCGTAACTAGAAACCGGAATCAAATCAAACTGATGGTACTAATTTGATATAAATATTATAATATCGAATAATCCATTCTCGAATCGAACCTCTGAATTGAATACCGAAATATCCCACTTAGATTCTCCATTATATTTCATTTTCTCCATTATATTTCATTTCAGGAACATTGATTTTCCAGCTTGTGATTATCTTTGGTGGGATTTTTTGGGTTCGGCCTGTTTAGTTATTGGGTCGTTTGGGCTTTGATACTTCGTTTAGGGCCACATATTTGGGGTTAAATCGAATTTAATTGGGTATCGTATTAGTGAAACACTGACACGTACCCGGAGGATTAAATTAATAAAACAAGAAGTTTAGGGTTAAATCGAATTTATGACTTTTCTTTGGGGTTTTTGCGTTAATAATAAATAAATGAGCACGCCAGTCACAAAAAAAAAATGGAATGAGCAAATAAAAAACGAGAAAATGAAGAAGTAAAAATATCGACAGCTTCTTCTTCAGATCTGCTTGATTTTCGCTGCGTTTGTAGTTGGAGGAAGGTCTCTTCAGGTCAGCTACTATTGTTCACCGTCCACTGAGTATTCGAATCCTTGTTTCTTTGATTCCTAGTCTCCCTTTTCCGTAGTTTCTATTAATTGATCTGAGATTTTTCTGTCTTGGATTCTTGGATTTTCCCTGTTCTCTCCGCCTCATTGATTTTGTAAGTCAAGGTTCCGAATCCGTGATTTTTGTTCCCTTGTTAGAACCGATTTGGTTGATTGGTTCTCCAAGTTATGATTCCAGATCTAATGTTGGGCGTTTTCCCTTTTTTGATTTGTTAGATTGTGCTTGATATATGTGGGAAAATGCGAAGAGGGAAGAGAGAGAGAGAGAGAGAGAGAGAGAGAAGAAGGGTGAGAGGATTTTGTAATATATTTTCTGCGGGTAGGGTTACTAGGGTTTCAATTTCTGTGTGAGATCGCTTAGCTAAGGACTTCTTTTCGCTATTCATTTATGGCGTTCTATACGAAATTGAAGCTGCGATTTCTAGGTAGTGTTCCTTATTTTCTGTGGCAGGTTATGGGAGAGTCGGGATAAGAAGTCTTGCTAACTTCCAACTCCTCTGAAGAATGTTTTTCCAGTTCATTTCTTGGAAGAATCGTTTTTGGTGTAGTTAGTATGGGTTGTTGGGCAAACTTGAGTGTTCAACTTGAAGCTAGTTTGGGCTTCTGATAAGGAAAGGGCAATCCGGTGCACAAAGCATACCGTTTAGCTAGAGTTTGGGGAAGGGTGTATTTTAGGCAAACCGTAGGTTACAGAATATATATTCTGCAAGATGCTGCTTTAAGGACTCGAACCCGTGACCATATTCTGCAAGATGCTGCTTTTAGGACTCGAACCCGTGACCTCTAGGTCATAGCAGCAACACCTTAACCGGTGCACCAAGGCTTGGTCAATAATGTTATCTTTTCTGGGAGTAATATTGGTAAATTTCTGTTTGGGGAAAGAAATCTAGGTTGTTGATTGTTTTGTGAGAAGCAGGTGTGTGTTTTAAGCTGCTATTCGGGTAAGTCGGGGCTACAAATCAAGGCTAGGGTTCTCGGAGAACAATAGCCTTCTTCAGAGGAACGTTATGTGATGGCTCGGGTGGAGTGTGGTCTGTGAAGAAATATGCTGGGCAATGTTCTATTTCGGACTTCGGAGAAAAGTTTCTGGATATCGTTACGTTATGTAGAGAAAAATATGGATTAGTAAAAATTTCTGAACGATCCAAAAACTGTCCTTTGGAAGTTGATTTGACCCGATTGTTCTATTCATCTTTAGGTTTTAAATATCTACTCAGATGGAAGGAAGTGGGGGTGATAGTGCTTCAATGGCGACGCAGCGTGCACATGAAGCATGGAGGATTTACCAGTATTATCTGGACAAGACCACGCCTCATGCTGTTCATAGGTGGATTGGAACTGTCGTCGTTGCTCTTATCTACTTTCTGAGGGTTTACTATCTTCAGGGATTCTACATCATCACCTATGGTCTTGGGATCTACATACTGAATCTGCTCATCGGGTTTTTGTCGCCTCTGGTTGATCCTGAGCTAGAGGTCTCAGATGGGCCTATGCTACCTACTAAAGGTTCAGATGAGTTCAAACCATTCATTCGTCGGCTCCCGGAATTTAAGTTCTGGTAATGTGCAAGTCTCTTTCGCGAAACACTGGTTAACTCGTTATGGTAGAAATGCCATGTGTCATGCAAGTTATATTCTTTGGGCCTTTTTTCTTATTTTCCACGTTAGGGGTCTCTATTATCAATTGCTGGTTTAACAGTTTTTGTCATTGAAGTACAAGTTTCTGGTTTCTGGGTTATGTTGTGGTCGCAGGTACGCAATGACAAAGGCTGCCTGCATAGCTTTTCTCATGACGTTCTTCTCGGTGTTTGATGTTCCCGTCTTCTGGCCTATTCTGCTGTGTTACTGGATCGTTCTCTTTTTCCTAACGATGAGACGCCAAATCTCGCACATGATCAAGTACAAGTACATTCCTTTCAATGTCGGAAAACAGGTATCTTCTGTATATCTTTTTGAAATAAAACTTCTAATGCATTTTGGTTTGAATCATAGTTTTGCCGGCAACCTATACGGAAAAAAAAGCAACGCATTCTCACTCTCTCATGCATGTTAAATCTTGCTCTTTTCGGTCAATAATATCTATCAGAGATCTCATTATGTTACTTTGCATGGCACCCATTTAAACTCAAGGCAAAAGAACAGGCAGCGAATATAGAAATCTTACGGTTTGTTATATGAAACAATGGAAATCGGGGTGTAAATTGATGAGTCTGAGGTGAAATAGGCTCAAATAAATCACAAAATATGGAATCCTTTGATATTGTCATTATTACTGAATTATGAATACAGCGCTTGTAATGGCGTATATATAGACTGTATAGTTTTGACAATTTTGTTAACTGAGCTTGAATTCGGCAACTGGAGTTGAAAATCCAGGCCAAGCTTCTAACTGAGTTTTTGATGTCTTGTTCTTGAGGGTTTTGTTACAGTTGTGGTCTACCAAATTCCCTGTCTGAACAAAATGCTTAATGAAATCTTTGTTGGCAGAAATACGGCGGCCGGAGATCTACGCCGAGCACCAGCGGCTCTCGTGCCGACTGATTCAGTAGTCCTCCAGTAGTCAGTTCCTCCTCCTCCGGCATCATTAAGCCCTTTTGTTTTTTTAAGGAAAAAAAAAGAAGAAGAAACGAATCCATGGAAACACCATTTTTGGAGGGGTTTATATATATATATATATATATATATATATTTACAGTGATGAATTGATTCTAGTATTGTTATGCAGTTTCCAGTGAAAATTGGGTGTTGATAGTTAAATTCAAACAGTGGTGTTTAGCGATTTTTTTTTCCCTGCCTGTGTATGTATATATATATACACACACATGCATGCATGTATAATATAATATCATTAGAGAATTCCTTTTGATATACTTTACATGTTAGGCTGGCGGCTCCCGTGCTTTTCGCATTCGCATTTTGAACTCGGAATCTCTATCGGCTTGAATTTATTATTATGAATTTATATTTATTTTTGTAAACTTCATAAATAACAGAAATAAGAAATATCTATTATTAATAAATTCAAATAAATATCCATCTTTATAAAACTCAAAAAATCTATATTTTTGTTAATTATCTGGTTTTAACACGACTTAACATATATTTACCATATTAATTTATCATAAAAAAATATTCTGCATTAGATTAAAATGGATAAATTTATAAATATAGTATTTTTTGGATACATACATAAAAAATGAATGTTTATCCGTATTTATAAGTTTTAATTGGATGTATTTTAAAAATATACTTTGTATATTTCCAAAAACCGTATATGTGGAGTATTCTAGGATAAATTGTTGGCAATGCTTAATTCTAATTTTTTTTTAATTGATTTTCCTTTTTCGGGGTTGGTTGGTCGAGTTTGAAAACCAATGGGTCATCAATTAGGCCCACCATGAATAAAACAAGGCCTCATAAAAGCCCAATAGAAGTTAAATGGGCCTTTTGAAAACCACGAAGAGTGTCCAATGAGACCTCTATATATATATATGGGGTGCTTCCCCATGGAACCCTAATCGTCTCTGCCTTTCTTCTTATTCGCCGTCGTCTCTGTCTCTGTCTCCATATCGATCTACGATTCTTTCTGTATTAAAGTTTCATCTTTTTAAGAACGAGAGAAGGTGCGATGATGATGGGTTTATGAAAAATCTCGTTAATCTGAATTTTTCTTATTGTGAGGAATAATACTTCCCATCCATTCATTCCATGTTCCTGAGCACCTTCTCTTCCTTATTTCTGTGTTTTTTTTTCAGTTTACGTTGTTTTTTTGTTCGTTCATGAACCAATCTTCTCAGACCGTCGGGCCGTTATAAGGTTATTACGGGTTAATGTATGATTTTCGAACTCATTTCCCTGTGCAGATTGATATTGGCGAGTCTTGCTTTGACTCCCGACATCCTGGTGTTCTGTCCTTGAAAAATGTTTTTTGCGGTTTGGTCAGTTTATTTTTTTTTAATAATCCCAAATTTTATCGGATCAAAAAGACCCAATTACATGGACAAGCATGGGTGAATATCCTTGTAAATCCGGAATAATAATTTTTTTATAGTTTAGAGAAATAAATATTCATCTTTCAATTCAAGTATAACAATGAAAAATGAAGCTTAAAGCTATGAACAGAAGCAAGTAAAGTCGATCAGATTGAAAACTATTTTTCAATTAAGGGATTTTTTGTTATTAAGAAAATCAAATTAGAATAGAGATTGTCAGTGGTTATGTTTTGTAAATGATAATTATTTTCTCGATAAGATACTATGTGTAATCATGATGGGATATGCTCTCTAAATTATTAATTAAAATTCCAAAATCCTTTCATAATTGCCAATTCTTCAGTGGAAGTTAACCGATTCCGATGGTTCCGACATAACCCCGCACGCAACAACTGTAGAGAACAAGGAAAGGTCTCACCTTGAATCCCGACGCGTCAAAAAGGAACAGCCTTTCACAAATCAAAATCCAATTCCCACACGCAATTCCACCTTCGGCGGCCATAAAATTCAAAACCCACATCAACAAAATCACGATCCCGATAGACCGTGAAGACCCAGAAGCCAAAATCGAAAACCCGGAAAACAAAATCGCGAATTTGGTACTCGAGCTCTGATCGAGATTCGGTAGAGGAGAGAGATGGAGCCGGTGATGGAGGAGGAAGAGTACAACTACAGAGAAGTGGTGTTGCCGTCGCTGATTCCGGTGGTGCCGGAGCCGGAGCTGGAGAGAGAGACGGGAGAGAGGAGGAGAGGGAGAGATGTGATCGTGGCCGTCGATCACGGCCCCAACAGCAAGCACGCCTTCGATTGGGCTCTCGTCCACTTCTGTCGTCTCGCCGACACTCTCCACCTCGTCCACGCCGTTTCCAGTTCGTCCTCTTCTCTTCTCTCTCTATATCCTCGTTATTACTTCATATGAAATCTTCTTAACCGCCGTCGATTGGAATGGAGCTTGGGCAATATTTGAGATTCAATAGGCAAGTTTGAAATCTTTTGGAGAAATGATCATGCATGACATGTGTATGTATATGCGTGTGTGAGCTAATCACGCGAGGTTTGATCCTGAAATCGGGAAAGAGAAAATAGACAAAACTTGAGATTTAAAGAATGTCTGTTCAAACGTATATTCATCAGACTTCTCCACTCTGTACATACATACATACATACATAAATACGCATGTACTGGAATCTGAACACGTGGGTTCGTTTGAACAGGCGTTAAGAACGATGTAGTGTACGAGACGAGCCAAGGGTTGATGGAGAAGCTCGCAGTCGAGGCGTTTCAAGTCGCCATGGTCAGTCCTCTGTTTTATCTGCCTTTCCCTATCTGTTTTTGTGAAAAGAGCTTGGCATTCCTAAGCTTTGGTTACAATCCAAAGATTCTGTATAGCTTTTAGTTCCATTGGCAAGCTATTACATAGCGATAATATATGTACTTCATCTCAGGTGAAGAGTGTTGCCCGTATAGTTGAAGGAGAAGCCGGGAATGTTATATGCAAGGAAGCCGACAGGCTGAAGCCTGCAGCCGTTGTGATGGGCACACGAGGAAGGAGCCTTGTAAGAAGGTGAGAAACCCTAACCAGACCATACTATGTTTATTTTTGTTATTGATGTATGATAGTTTCAATGGATCTGTTCTTATGTGTTTTTGTGCAGTGTGTTGCAAGGAAGTGTGAGCGAGTACTGCTTCCACAACTGCAAATCTGCTCCCGTTATCATCGTTCCGGGAAAAGGTAATCGGTAATCCGATGTAAGAACGTATTTCCGAGTTTCCTCTTGATTGTTTCTTTTGCGAGAAAGAATTAGGGGTGATCATTTCGGGTTTCGTTTCGCTTATTTCGGTTATAGAATAACTATAACTATTCGGTTTTTATATTAACTTTGTATCGGTTCGATTCAATTTTATTTCAGTTCGGATTCGGTTTTTTTATTGGTAAACACGGACACCTCATTTTTTTTTCAAAGAAATTATCGATTTTTTGAATTTTTTTTTTTATTCGGTTCGTCGAATTTGGTGTTTTCGAGTTTAGAGAAATCATAACCGTTCAGTTTTTATGTCGGATTTCTGTTCGATTACGGTAATGTTTTATTTGGTTCAGCTATTCAATTAGTAACCCGGTCACCATAGAAAGCAGCGTTTTTTATAGGTGATTTGATGTAACAGCGTATTTGCAACTTACAAGCTTCTTCTTGATTGTTCTCTTTGGGGGGAAACAAGTGTGGATTAGGTTAGGGTTTAGGGTTTACGAATTTATTTCGTGGCATTTTAATGGTTATTCATGTTATTGATCGTTGCAGAAGCTGGAGACGTGTCGATAATCGAGTGGGAACGAAGAAAGGACCCGAGTCCTTGAAATGCGATTTCATGCATGGAATTGTTCTGTTTCTATCCCCGTTTCTATTTGGATTTTGTTGTGGTCAAAACACAAGGTCGTGTATGCATTCGCCCCCCCCCCCACCCCTTTTTTCATATGCTCCGTATAACAATCATATGCTAAGTTCTCATCTACGCGAATACTATATGTTCTTGTATTATTTTCTTTTTGTAATTTTGGGTTTGATGTTTTGTTTGGTGCTTTAGAGAAAAGTGTTAATGTTTGTAATTGTGGACCGAAACCCATTTCCAATGGTTGATGTGGTAATTGGAGACATTGGGTAGTCTTTGTTTGAAAACGATTCATATATATATATGTGTATGCGTGATTACAGATTCTACGTATGGATACTTGATATAAGAAAGCTGTCGTATATTAATACGAACCAATTATTGGACCATGAGCCACCAATTATCGCTTATTTTTGTATCAGAACATTATTGGTAAATCTGTAAATGTAAGAAAGTTAAAAAAAAAAAAAAAAAGACAGGACAGGGCAAGGACAGGACAGGACAGGTGGAGGTATATGCCAACGGAACTCAAGTTCCAACAAAGCTAACTTTTGACGTATCAGTAGATTCTCGAGAACTGAGTTTCCTTTTGTCCTTTTTCACTTGTCCCTTTGTGAAAATACACTCCATAATCCCACGTCTCTTCATTATACGTTTCTACGTACAAATACACGTAATCTTTTAACGTATCTTTGGTGAATTCTGACGTAATTTCCGTGTTTTCACGGTACCAATTCCTCCCCTTAATTAGTGTAACTAAGGATACATATATAAATATATAAGCTTTGTTTTCATGAAGAGTTCATCGTGTTCATAAAAAGACTCGTATATTCCACCTCGTTATATCCGTGTATATATATACGACGTTAAGTACTTTCACCATGCATGCATATATACGACGTTATAAACAAATGCGTTGCATGTATAGCTACACTCTCAACCACTGTATAATTCACACACACACACACACACACACGTTCACCAGAACATAACCAAACACCAAACCCTTTTTTTTTCCTTAAGAATTAAAATCAAAGCTTGTACTATTCGTAATGTTATATATACACACACTCATGCAAGAACAGAGAGAGAGAGAGAGAGAGAGAGAGAGAGAGAGAGAGAGAGAGAGAGAGAGAGAGAGAGAGAGGTTACGTTCAGGAACGTGGACGAAGAGGGAGAACAAGAAGTTCGAGAGAGCGTTGGCGAAGTACGACAAGGAGACGCCGGAGAGATGGCAGAAAGTAGCAGACGCCGTCGGAGGGAAATCGGCCGACGAAGCCAGGCGACATTACGAGGTTCTCCTCCTCGACCTCAATCTCATCGAGACGGGTCGGGTTCCTTTACCCGATTACGGACCCACTGACTGTCTCCATCGTACCACCACATAGGTATATATTATAACCTTGCATGCCCTTTTTTCCTTTTGCATTACAGAAATGTGAATTTGCGTAGTAAAAAAAAAGAACAAAAAAAATCATCTAAATATATATAAATGGTTCAAAACGATATAACCTTGCATGCCCTTTTGTTTTTTTGCATTGCAGAAATGCGAAATTGTGAAAAGAAAAGAGAACAAACAATTTCATCTAATTAACTATACAAAATGGTTCAAAATTATACATATATACGGTGAGTGTTTCCGTCGAAGTACATGTATATGTATAACCTTGCATGCCCTTATTTTTGCATCAAAGAAGTATGAATTTGTGTAAAAAAAGAATTTCATTTACAATACATATGATATATTGGCAGTCCACACTTTATAATAGGAGTGGGTTTCGATTCAATTTTGAGGAATCAAACCGTATCAAACCAAATTTTATAAAATTCCCAAAAAACCGAGATTTTCTTAAGAAAATCTAAATATTTTTAACAAAAACCGAAACCGAACCGAATAATATACGGTACTAATTTGGTACAAATTTTGGAATACCGTATAAACCGTTTTGGAATCGAACCGCTAAAATTCTGTCTTGAAACGCCCACCCCTATTTTATAATATATAGATTGTGATGGATTCATTTTACGTATGTGCGAAATTGTTTAGGTTCCGGAAGTTACCATGAAGAAGGCGACGGAGACGGAGAAGACAGACGTATCCGCATTCCACTTTTTGTACATGTTTTCTCGAATCCATGTAACAAGTCCTGTTTGACTTCGTTGGTCTTTAATTTCACGAGACTAACTGTTTCAAATTATAATATTTTGGATGGATAATATCGGAGAAACATAATTTAATTGAATAATCTGACTTTTTATATAACATATATTCTGCAAATGAAACGTGTACCCAAAACATTATATATATATATATATATATATATATATATATATATTAAAAAAAGCAATGGAGGCCAGACCTATCTATTGTGCAGTGATGATTCTGATTCACCCACTGAAATCACCTCAGCCCATTGGTTTTTTGTTCTCAGGTATTAAATAGGGGTGGGATTTTCAGTATTGGTTCGGATTCGATTCGAAAATTATTCGGTTCGGTTTGTTTATTTTATAAAAATATATACCAATGGTTATTATATTATGTTCGATTTAGTTCCGTTTCGATTTTTATTAAAAAAAAATTATATCTTTTTTTTAAAAAATATTTTCAGATTTTTTTTATAAAATTTAGTTCGATTCGATTACAAAAAATTCGATTTTTAAATAAAAATATTGTTCGAATATTTTGAAACGGTTAGATTCGGAAAAAATATCCAATTTTTTGATTCGGCTAGGAGGAAGCTTGCCGAAACGTCTGCCTCTGGCTTTAAAGTTTAAACTCTTTGCAACTTAAACGTCGTCGTTTTACCGACTTGGTCAACATTTTTAATTGGGCTTTTTTCTCCATGAGCGATTTCTATGACGTTTAGCCTTTCGTATTGGGCTTTGTTTCCGATACATTCGTTTTCCGTATTTGATTGACCGACCATGGTTTTGCATCGAAACCGTACACAAGTTCTTGTCTGTTGTCTCTCTACACGCAGGTGAATTCGCTACAAGGAAGAACAGAAACATAGGCAAGGTAATTCTAGTATCGAATCTGTTCTTGAATTTTTTCGGTTTATTGATTTGTGTTTCTTTCTTCGTTTAAAATCAGTTGCAAACGAAAAGCGGGTAAAAGCGGGTCTTGATTGAGATTGATAAAATTATGATTCGATTTGTGTGTTTAGCCGATTTTATGCTTCGGATATTGTTTGTAGTGAGATAAGTCGTTGTTTTTGTCTTGGATCGTGTTATTGAAGCAATTTCTGGTTCCGTCGAAGTCTGGGGTTCTCGTTGGCATTTTATCGAATGGTTGGTGGGTATTATGTTGTAATAATCGCTGCGGGTTTGCTTGTTGCGGGCGAATCTGCGCTTGGATCGAGCGAATCCCAATAACTTAATTTGGGTTCTGTTTATGGAATTGTGAAGATCTATCTAGGTACCCTCCAACATCTACAACAGTAAGATGTGTTTAGGATAGGGTTTTGCGACGTTGAGATTGTAAATTAAATGACAAAATATGTTCATAAGCGATGTTGCTTCTTTCTGGGCTTGATTGAACACTATATCTGTGAAGATTTTTGCTTGTAGTGGTGTGGGTATATGTCTCTATGGTGTTAAGTCTGTGACTTGTTGTTGAAAAACTACATGTCTGAGTGAAATATGTGGGCATTTCTTGAAGCTCATTTGATCAATGTGCTTATTCTAAAGATTTGATTTGATGCCTTTTTAGGACGGAGAATAGATGGAAACCCAAAAAAATCAAGCTGAAACCCCACAGAAACCGGCGGCCATGGCCTCATGTAGAAAGAAGGTGAAGGATGATGCCACTTTCCTCGAGGACCTGAAGGATCACATCGACGAATTCGTCTATGCCTCCATGGATGAACACAAGACTTGTTTCCAGAAGACCATCAAGAAGGTTTCTTTTCGCTATTGAATCGCCACTAAATCTCTGAGAGAACCCTTTTAACTTCTCTAAAAAAAAAGTCTGCTACCCTCTCTGCATGGTTTCTGATTCATGTTTAAGGAACCCTATGCCAGACCTAAGTTTAATTTGCATTCAACACCTGGGTTATGTTCTGTCTAGCTGCCTTTTGGTAGAGGAGAAGGGGATCTGAAATAGCAATAATGCCTCTGATCATCATGTATGATTGATATAGGCTTGTTGCTGCTCAGTGACTGAAATGGAAGTGAGTGAAATGCATGATCTTATTTGATATGTAATTGGAGGCTTCAAAGGGGGTTTTCTTCTTGTTTATGTTCACTAGTGGAGTGTGGTTTGAAAAAGCTTGTTTCGGTTTTGGTTTTCAGATGTTTGGGTTATCGAAGGCGGTTGCAGAAAGGCAGACAGAGGCTAAGGAGGAGATCGAGAGTTACTTGCCACTTCAGACAACAGTTTCTAGTGATTAGACAATAGGTTTTGAATATTTAATTTCAATAATGATTCTAAAACCTATGAAAAGGTGTAGCATGTTTTAACCATTCATGTTAATAACTTAATATTGAACAATTCGAATGGTTGCCATTGTTTATATTTATTCCTAAATTCATATAATGCCTTTTTCTTTCCTTTTTTGTTAATCATGTAAAATGATTTACGGTGAAATTATTATTTCGTAAATGAAATCTTATCATTATTCTGTGAAATAGTTATGAGAATAAATCTAATTTGCAGTTAGATATTACTAAAACTATTATACGTAAATTTTTGTAGCAAGTTACGTTCGTACGTGGATGTAAACATGCATATGGTGCCTGTGTACATATTTATATATATATATACACGTCTAACAGCATGTGACATTTTTTTGTCTTCTCCTAAGATTGTATTTCCCGCCATTTTCGCCTCTAATTGTTCTATAAATACGCGAACTGCGGAAGCACGTGTGTTACGTGTACATTCCCAAATTCAAACCCTAGCGTTCCCTGGGTTTCAAGGCTCGAAAGGTCGCGATCGAAATGGCGAATCCCCGAGGTGAGTTTTTCTAAGTTTCGTTTGTAGCTTTCTAGTCCGTGACCGAGATCCTATCTATTATCGTTTTCCGCAATATTCTTCGTTGTCAATATTTGTTGATTATTGCACTGGATTTTTCCATTTCGAAGAACCCTAAATACAGCTTGATTGATTGATTCATGGATTCGAGGGGTTTTTCCTCGATAATAGCGTCTGCGCTTGGCGGAAACATTGGAAATAGGAATACAAACGATAATTGATCGTTGACGTTGCAGGAACACGTCGATGCGTCCCTTTTATTCTTGATGATTATACGTAGTTAGGCTTTCTTGCTTTGTTGGTTTACTGCAGCTTCAGATTTCTCATCCTGCCAAAGAATAGGGGAAAACAGGAAAAAAAATGTTAGATTTAGCACATATGTCTTGTTTACTGATGCTACGATGAGCAGAACCAATAAAATGAACTGGGCTGAAATGTGCCTTGCTGGCTTAGAATATTCGACGATGATAACAATTACAAAATTTTTAATTTGTTCTGAGGCTTGGGTCAGATGTGGGCGTTTGGTAATACGCTGGATATCATTCCATAAGACCAATGGAATGATTCTAGCATAATTTTTGGGAGAGGTCTTAAATGCTATGAAACCATAGAAGAAGTGAGAAATAAACACATGGCCGATGCATAGTCTATCTCATGATTGGCATGAGAAGTCAGAGAATCCCTGTAAAGTTAAAAGCTTAAAGATGAAACTGACATCCTCTTTTCTGGATTTGGTCTCTTTCGTCATGTCGTTACCAATATGACTAGTTTATGGAAGAATCTAAAAAAAAATAATCTTTTGAGCTATTGTTTAGTTTAAAAGCTAGATTGCACCATTGTTAGTTTTATTTTCTCAACGTGTTTATTTATTAGCGTAGTACCTCTTTTCCTCCCCAGTCAGCTTGCCGTAGATGCTGCCTCCAGTATTCTTGTAGTCTGGGAATGGCACATGGCCTTTCTCAATGCTGTCAACATCTCGCACCAGGAGTTCATAGTGTTGCTTTGCCTCGTCTGGTGTCTTACCGCCCACAGCCTTGGCAACATTGTACCAACGGTCAGGAGTGTCCGTGTCGTAGATTGCTAGAGCCCTTTCAAAGGCTTTGTTCTGCTTAGCAGTCCATGAGTCAGAGCCGTGAGAAGACATTGAGCCTGATGCCATTATGGAGATAATATGATGTTTAATAAGAAGGGATAAGGGTAATTGTGTAAAGAGATTCTATGGAAGGGAAGATTACCAGTCAAGGGAGTGATATGGGAACAGATGTCGCAGAGTGCTTGCTCTTTATAAAGAGAAATGGGAGAAGAGGTGGGGTAGTGCCAGTTGTCGTCATAGATATCTAGCAAAAGTGAACAGAATTTTAGGTCCTTGTCTCTATAGGAATGGCATAATGAGCAAACAAAGAATATGAGCAAAAATTGTGGAGATCAGTACCTAGAAGAACCAAAGTAATCACCAAGATTGGGTTTTGAGTGCTTTTCCTTCCACATATTGCCTAAGATGCTGCGTAGAAACATTTCCCTTTTATGGTATTACTATTAGGATTACTGATTTTTTTTTCTGATTAGACATATGCCAACATACTATTAACCGAGAGTTCTTCTCAATACTAGTGAGACACTGCTGAGGTATAGAGGAGTTTAGTCCGCAGAGCTAGGGTTGGGTTCAGACTCCGAATTTAGGCAATGGTCGAAAGAATATCTCTTTCATGGATAATGTCTTAAGGTCTGCTAATTCTAGATTCCAATGATCTGGTGAAACTCTCTGGTAGCTGTTGTATATATTGACAATAATTTAATACCAGCAAGTCAATAATTGAGTTTCATCGACAAGCCAGATTTTCTTCCTAGTGCTCTGGATTCATTTAAGTAATGTGAAGAAAGACTCCATAGCATTTTGATGATTACTTGAATCTTCAAAACTATGGTTGGAATGTGTTCACCTTCAAAATGCTATGGTTGGAACCTTAAGCCATATATTCTCTGGCAGAAGAGTCCTGAGGGAAAGTGGGGGTAAACTTTATGAGAGATCCGACCTCAGGGATACTCTGTCCTGAACTGCATAGGTTATCTAGCTGGCTAAGATTTGTCCGTACAATGATACATTTTGGTGTTTCTTTTGTGAAAGGTCAACATAGTTTACCTACCATCTTTTTCCTCAACTGGGCCCCTCTTTTGTAAGTTTGGTAACTTTGCCTTTCTTGTTTAAAGTCAATTTATCAGACCTATTAATCTATTCCTAATATTGGCATTAATTTGTTTGACGAACACTTTTCTGGAATATGGCTGTCCTGTTATGGGTTTCTAACTCACTTCTTTTGTTGATGTAGATAACGTCTCCACTGTTACATATCTTGGGCTCTGAGATAAACGATTGTCTTCGTATGCTAAAACTGACGTCTTCCTCCCGTTTTTGGGTCTTTGGTGCATTAATTAGATAATCGACTTGGTAGAAATCTAGGCGTGGGGATGGAGAAGTAGATATTGTCTGAAACTACAAAAGGAAAAGCTTTCGTAAGCACTAGCAGCGTGGGCAATAGGTAGGCCAAACTATTCCGTTGCTTAGTGTAAAATGTTGAGCAACCTAAAAGGTAACACAAAATGATCCACAGTAGGAGCATACATATTTGGTTAAGAAACAACAACCATAAATGACCCACTTGCTGCTGTTTGAATTAGCTCTGGAAGGAAAAACATTTTATTCATAGGTTAATGGTTAATTCTTTTGTTTATGTTATGAAGATTTTCTTTGATAGCGAATGCAGGCGTTTCCAGGTGTTATGGGCTGTCCTTTGGGTGATGGAAAACCGTAGTCATTTCTGAAAAATCAGAACCAGACCAGGTTAGTCATTAGATAAACCGGATATAGTGCTACAGACATTATTTCCAGTTTGCATCCTGGTCTTTTCTTGTTTATATACTGTAATATCTGGCGATGTTTTAACCGGGAGCTTCAATCCAAAATCTTAGTGGTATTAACTTCAACGGGTAAGGCGATGGTTCCCTCTCTGTTAGATAAGGTACCAGGGTAACTCTCCCCTGTTATTTTATGACCCAAAACCTTAACCATTCCTGATGTGTTAAGTTAGTGAGGATCAGAATCAAGAGGATGACGTATTTTAGTAGGGACAAAACCAAAATTCTAGGAGGAAAAGTTTAAAACTGAGAAAGAATCTTAATTTTTTGGGCCGGTGGCACAATATATTCCAGAGATATAGCCAGCAAGTTGCTCATTAAATTCTTCAAGTAGGCATGCATAATATATATTCTCAGCTTTCAGTCTTCTTCAATCCAACCCCCTTGCTTGAGCATTAAAATGGTAAATATATACACACACACACACATTTGCCTCTCAGTCATCTCCTTAGCTGTAAAATGAAAATATGTTCTGTTCATATTATAAAAGAAGAGGATTCCACTGGTTTTTTGAGCGGGATAGGTACTCTACATCTTTGTTTATTGCTATGAAGAGTTAGATTGCCTAAGATTTGAGGGATTTATTCCAATTTCCTATAGGATCAAGTTGCGCTCCTTATAGTCAAGATACTGGCCATATTTATGACATGGCCAAGCCTTGGATTGCTGTTGAAAATTACTGCAGCAGCTTTCTAGGAATCAGCACGAAAAGGAAAAGAAAGGCTAAGCTATAACAAGATTTATATTCCCGTTTGATATTTAGAATCAGAAAAATAATTTGTATTCTTATTCCCTTTTGCAACTTGGCTAACCCGGGCCTATGAAATATATCACTGGTTGGGTTCCCTTTTAGATTGTGAAGGTTGTAGCTCTGGTAATGTGTTCATTGCAGAGGCACAATTTTGCCTAGTGGTCGGATATTTTCGTAAAAAGGAAGGATGATTCCACGTACATTCGTATTCCAAAGCTTTAAGCATTAGAACATAGCATGTTATCGTTAAGCTACTTTTAAGAGGAACCAGGAATCCATATCATTTCCATAGGGCGGAAATGTTTGGTTACTTCTGGTCCTACGTCTGCCGTTTATAGCTTATAGTATAGTATCTTCTTTTTTTTTTGCTTTCTCTATGGAATCTTTGAATAAAAATATTCGACTTTGGGTAGCGGAGAATTTCCATGCTCGAAAGCTTTCATTGTTGAGGTGGAGAAAATGGAGTACGTAGATGGGGAAAATGCTAATCTTGTGAGCATGATTTATGATCTCCGATTAACTGTTTGTGTTGCTTTGTCATGTGGTAACTAGGGCTGGGCACAAATACCCGAAAATTGGGTATCCGTCGGATACTCGTCTCATTGATACCCGATTTTAGGGTACTCGTAATTTTCAAATCCGAATCCAAATCCCGATTTTTCAATATAATCCGAATCGAAATCCGGATAATAGAATTTTTAAAACCGGATATCCGCAGGTACCCGACTATTATGATTATAAATAATTATATCTTATATTTATATAACATTTTTATAAAATATAATTATTTTAGATTAAATAATTTCATATGTTTTAATATTAATTCAAAAAATTAAATTTATTATTATTTATCTCTTATTATCTCTTTTGTTTCATATATTTATCATAATTTATCAATTTTTATAAATATATCTTCAAAATTTTATATATGAATATTGGTGTTTTTCTTAATTAAATCCGGATCCGGATATCCGCAAATACCCGACCATTATTTCGGATATCCATATCCCAGATATTCGTAAATACCAAATCCCGGATACAAATCTTATAGCTAAATATCCGAGCCTTCCATATCCAAATCCAAATCTCTCGATTTTTTCGGGTATCCGACCCGTGTCCACCGCTAATGGTAACCATCTGTTTTTTTTTTCACATGTTGTCCTAACTGAGAAAATGGTTAAAAAAAATGGTAGATGCATTAGCAGAGTCATGTATTCTTTCTTGGTCTGGAAAAAAAATAAATCCCGTGGCTTGTTTTGATTTTGATAATATATTGAAATCTAAGCTCTCTCTCTCTCTCTCTATATATATATATAACTATTAGTCTTATCCTTTATGTTGCAGCCTGATCGCTCGGGTTCGTTGTGTCGTTCCAATGATGCGTGGAATTTGTTTACACAATGATTAGATGTACAGTTTCATTCAAACATATAGCAATTATATATGTTGTCAGCTATGTATACATTTAAAAGTTATATATATACATACATACGAGGACAAAGAAAAGCTATATATATATATATATATATATATATATATATATATATATATGCTATTGAAATTTTCTGGAGAAGCGAAAAAAAGTGTCGAATAGCAACATTTTATTCTTTTAAAAAGTAAAACCCGATAGACAATGGAACTAATTCGGGGGGATGGTGGAAGACGGCTAAAATTTTCCCCACGCGCACATTGATCAATTTATTAGAGCCCACGGAAATGAGGCGCGGTGCACTCCACGCGCTAAAAGAGCGCGTGTCGACGATATGGTTTCAAACGTAATGTCTAAACGCCCAAATTTAACGGGCCTTAAATTAGCCCATTTTTTTTTTATAGCTATTCGCAAATTTTTTATTTATTAAGAGCGCGTAGAAGTGGCCCTCACAAATGCAACGGGCCTACAATCATATAATGAGCCACCTTATTCGGGGCCTCGGATGAGTGTAAATTACTATTACTCACCATTTTTCCAATTTTTTTTCTAAACTCAATCATTAGTAAAAAAACAAAAATATAAAGATAAGAAATATTTCAGAAGTTTTTTTATATCACCAAATAATATTATTATATTCATTCCCACACATACAGTACATGACATGATACATTTTTTAATTTTTACAAAAAAAGGAAAAGGGAATAATAATTTTAGAAGCTGAATGTCATAGTGCTAAAAAATAAAATTATAAGCAATATTTTACGATAATGTTGAGATATAAAAGATATTGAATGATAAGATTAAAAGCTCGCTTCTTATTATAATTGATAAAACCTAAATCTACCTTTTCCAACACAGTGAAAACTGATATTAATCTGGTAGTAAACAAAAGATAAAAATTTCAAGATCGTACTATAGGCAACGAGTACCCCAAACGATCTGTCACAAACCAAAAGACCAAACGGAACATGAAAACCAACTCGGTGACACGACACTACCGGCTAATCCAATCACCAGCCGCCGCCACTGCCACCATATCCACCGTCACCGCCTCCGTAACCGCCTTCCCGTCGGCCACCGCCATAGCCGCCACCAGATCCGTAACCTCCACCACCGCGACGGTTGTATCCGCCACCACCACCTCCGTATCCGCCACCACCACCTCCGTATCCGCCGCCACCACCGCGGTAACCACCGCGGCCACCACCGCCACCACCGCTTCCACGTGACTGAGCCTCGTTCACGGTGATGTTACGGCCGTCAAGCTCCTGGCCGTTCATCGACTCGATGGCGTCCCTCATGGATTTCTCGTCCTTGAAAGTGACAAACCCAAATCCTCTGGATCTACCAGTCTCACGATCGTTGATGATCTGATTAAGATACCAGAATACGAGATAGATCAGAAAACAATAACAAAAAAAGTGAAACGTAAGAACTATAGAAAAATCGATCGGTCTTCAGGCTTATGAAAGCAGGAAGATGAACGTACCGATTCGAATTACAGAGATAAACAAACGAGAAGGAACATAGTAACAGTATCATCAACGAATCGAATCAAGTAACATAGAAACACAGATCGGAAGGGATCAGATGAGATCAGATCTATCGAAGATCAGAACATCGGAATCGGCACGGGAGAATCCGGGATCCGGGAGTCCGATCTCTCTGTAAGCGTGTAACGGACCTTGGAGTCGACAACTTCGCCGAATTGAGAGAAGGCTTGTTCAAGAGCCTGATCGTCGGTGGCCCAGGCCAGACCACCGACAAAGCACCGGTACTCAACATCAGCAGACATTTTTGAAGAAAATGAAACTTGAAAAACTAGGGTTTTTGTTCAGAGAAGAAGAGAGCTACGGAAAATGTTGCGGCGATCGAGCCTCAACTTATAGATGGGGAAGGGGAGGAAATTAACTATGGTTAGAATTTCTAGGGTTAGTTAGTGGGCTCGGTTACACGAGGTGGGAATTAACCATGATTAAAATATCTCGGTTAAAGAAAACAAGTGGGGTCCACCAACGCGACGCTTTTGGCAGTAGCACAATGGTAAAGCGGCCGCGGAAAGATATTTCTCGATTCGCAAGTAAAATATCTTGAATGGGAAATGACAATTTTATCCCTTATTCGATTGTGATATTACACTCGTCCATCGGATAAGCCCAGTGGCCCGACGGAATTGTCCGTACTGACAGATGTCAAAACATCGTTTAATTATTGGGCCGGATTATCCGATACAAGGCCCATTGTAGTTTTGCTCAATTTAATCGAATTACCTAAAACTTTCGTCAACATTTGGAATTCACCCCATGAAATTTTAAATCTACGAAATAGGACCCCATGGATTTAAAAAGAGACTTTTCAGACCTTTATAGTTTTCCGAGTATTCTCTCTATCTCGTTGGGAGGTTATCTGCTATCACCACCACCACTACTCCTCCATGCTCCTCCACTGCCACGTCAGCACTGGTTCCATATGGTTGGCCCTCCGCCGCGACCACCATCACCTCGACGATACGCAAGATACAGTTTTTCGCCGCCGGCACAATGCCAGATCCGCCTCCCTCTTACTCCGCCATAACCGGAACCTGGACCAGAAGCAAAATCTTACCCAAACTCTAGATATTGTCTCATCGCCAGCAACAGAAGTGAGAGCTGTTGACGATGAAGACCAGTTGAGGCTACTCGAGCTTTCCCTCGTTACCAGACGAACCCCTCAGTTCCCGGGCTCCATCTATGCTCAATCATCCTCCGACGCTGACGTCATCTCCTCCCTCCCTCCGCTTCGGACGGTCTCCGTTGGTGACGACGACAGCGAGCGGGAGATGATAGCGAAGGCGCTGGAGATCAGGCGGAAAGTGACGAGGGAGATATTCAAGGAAGCCATGGTGAGGAAAGGCAGATTCGGCATCACGTACGCGACGAATGTAACGGACCGAGTGGACGTCTTCATCGATCATGTGATGATCGAGGCGGCGGCGTTGAAGCGGCTGCCGGAGTTTTCGGAATCGACGTTCAACCTTCGCGCCAAGACTGTGATAGAAGACTCCAATGTCGTGCCTCTTATAAGGTCGGTGAAATTCTGCCGAGCCCTTGTCATGAATTCCCGTACCATAAGGTGTTCGATGCTGGGTCTGTGAGAAACTCATGGCTTGTGCTTATGATGATTCTGTACTCTGCAGGTGGTTGAAACACCATAAGTTTTCGTTTAATAGAATTGGGAAGCTCATATGCGTGTCAAAGGGAGATCTTGACTCCATAAGAAAAACCATCGAGTGGCTGAAAACCATTCATGTGAAGGGCGAATTTATGGGAGTTGCTCTGTTGAGATCTGGGGACAACATTTTGCAACGCAAGCGTGAGGAACTAGATGAGATCGTGGAGTATCTAGAAAGCAAAGGTGTGAGGAGGGATTGGATGGGTTATGTGGTAGGCCGATGTCCTGAGTTGCTGTCTTTCACCATGGAAGAACTGAAAGCACGTGTTGATTTCTTCTCGAAAATGGGTATGGATGATAATGACTTTGGGACGATGGTCTTTGATTATCCCAAAATACTTGGGTACTTCTCGTTTGAGGAGATGGAACAGAAGGTGCTCTCCGAACTCCTAATTTAGATGCTTGCTTTTCAAATAGTGTGCTACAAGACATGTTTGCTTTCCTTGTCTTCTGGAATTCAAAGTTGAGCTCATAATTTCCTAAATGAAAGGTTTCTTCTTATGTCCAAACCAGATTGATTACCTGGAAGAGTTTGGCCTCAGTAGGGAAGAGGTGGGGAGACTATTAGCATTCAAGCCGCACCTCATGGGGTGTAGTATTGAAGAAAGATGGAAGCCTCTGGTCAAATATTTCTACTACCTCGGAATTTCCAAAGAGGGAATGAAAAGGATCCTCGTTGTGAAACCGATACTCTTCTGCATCGATTTGGAGAAGACTATCGCCCCAAAGGTATATATCATTGGAACTCTTCTTTCTCTACCATGGAATGCTTCCATTGTTCCTTTCTTGTTGGCCCAATTCATTTGGTAATGTTTCTTTTTTGGTCTATAGTTAACCTATATACTATGAGATTCTTGCATTAACACAGGCTCCCTTATGTTTTAAAGGTACGATTTTTCCAAGACATGGGTATCCCTAATGACGCCATTGGCAACATGATAGCGAAATTTCCTTCTGTACTGACATACAGCCTCTACAAGAAAATCAGACCAGTGGTTAGTCCTTTGTTGTGGTACTTTGGTCTTAGTCCCCTTCGCATTCATGTTGCATCTTCAAGATAACTGATTGGATGGTCTGAACCAGTTTTCACCATTGACAGCATAAGATTTTGTCCTAAACCACATTTTGACCTCCACAAAAAAACCAGCTTTATATCTCCAAAATGGCATCACTTGGAAACTGCATCTGATCTTGAATATGTTATCCGAACAGGTCATTTATCTGTTAACCAATGCCGGGGTAAGTGAGAAGGATATTGGCAAAGTCATAGCATTGGATCCGGCTCTTTTAGGGTGCAGCATAGGGAAGAAGCTAGAGATCAATTTGAGATACTACTTATCGCTGGGGATCAGAGTTAAGAAATTGGGAGAGATGATTGCTGACTTTCCGATGCTGCTTCGGTATAATGTGGATATTCTCCGTCCGAAATACAAGTACCTCCGACGAACAATGATCCGTCCTCTTCAGGATCTCATTGAATTCCCCAGGTAAACCAAACCAACCCTAAAAGAACCAGCCTTGTCTGTAAAATATGTATATGGTGTCTCTGGTCTGTAAAATATGTATAAACTAAAGTATATAGCATGTCTCTGACACGGTTGGACCGTATACTTGTTAACAGGTTCTTCAGCTATTCACTAGAGGGTCGTATAATACCAAGATATAGGATGATGGTGGAGAACAGGGTTAACTTCAAGCTTAAGTACATGTTGGCTTGCACTGATGAAGAATTCGAGAGAAGGGTTAGAGATAAGGTGGATCGAAGACAGAGGTTCGAGGCTGGCCTAGACTCCGACGACAAGGAAACTCCTCTCTCTGATCCCCCGGCGGAGGGATTGTTGCGGCAGGTGGATGATTTAGTGTAATGGTGAGGTATATGTGTAATATCATGTCTTGTACAGACATCCCATGTCTTGTGTACATAGCACTTCAATTCCAGAGGTTAAAGAAAGGACAAGCCATCAACTTATGGAGAAAAAGGTTTAAAAAAATAACCCAGATTATAACACAGATACAGCACAAGTGAATTTGGGGATCAAGTTGAATTTTCAGAACACGATAATGAAATGACCACATAATCTTCGCTAGTATGAAGCTTGTGTAAAGAAGAACAATAACAGTCTGATAAAAGAGAATACCTGAAAAATATATGCTTGATATTTTAATCTTTAGCCATAAGCTTCCCTGTGATCCATATCCATAGGGTAGACAAATGTTACACGAAATTCAGTATTTTTTTTGCTGATCCAATAATATAATATTCCCTAAATTGAACAAAACAGCCAGCGGGTGTAAAAGCGTCTTTAAAACGCAGGTTCAACTCTGCGAGTGAATGTTGTATTGCTGCTGTTTTGCATATTAGTCTTTCCTCAGCAGCATAATTAAGGAGCACTAAGAATCATCAAAAATGTCTTTTTCATGAAAATTCAATTCCAAAACTCACTCAGATTCCGATACGGCAGATAGGATTCTGCTTGATGAGATTCAGATCCACCTGCATAACCAGTTACACCCATAATGCTATGCCGTTGGATACAAGAATATACTTAACAATGCCAGCAGAAGAAGCAATAACTGAAGAGCAAAATCTGTACCTTGTGACCAAAGAGATCTCTTATGTTGTCGATATGGTACAATATCATGGTCGGTCTGGTTCAAAACAATCAAGACATAATCAGCTTCCCTTATAGTAACAGTACTGTTTCCATGACAGAAGACTACGAGAACGCATCTCGTTTTAATCCAATGTTTTGGACGAACTTGATGAAACAAAAGGTACGTGACAGAAGACGTTAACATATTCCGGGGGGCAACAGTAGAATCAGAACCAGAGGATCTAAAAGACATCGAAATTCCGCAGGTTTTCTTAGTTCTGTGTGTTCATATTTTGATATATTCAGCCGAACCATATACTTTCTGTTCTAGTATGGACACATTACAGCAGAAACTGAAGGGATTTATTGGTAATTGATCATACCTTTCAAGAGAAAGACCCCATGCAATGACACGGACATCCTCAGGGAGGCCCATCGGAAGCAACATTTCAGGTCTGAACATGCCAGAGTTTCCGATCTCCACCCATTTCTGCAGCCCTTCATGGTAACTGCCAAAACGTGTGGACACATCTTCCCTAAGTGAATCCCTCTGTTCATGTACTTTACCAATTGATCGACTGATTGAATTACCTGAAAATCTCCATGCTTGGCTCCGTATACGGATTATAGGCAGGCTTGAAACGCAGCTTGGACATTCCTGAGCTTGAGCAGATTATGTTTAGCTCATGACAAATATTTACCAAAAAACAGATTTCTTTTTATGCAACTAGAATTCTGCATCTCATTTCCTTAATCATATGATCAAACTCGGAGGCTTACTCAACCTCGAATCACCAAAATGAAAAGCGAAGGAGTAATGAAATGTGTACCTAGGCGTGAGAAGAAGTCTTGCAAAACACCAATTAGGTCGCCCAGTGTAAGGCCCCGGTCACATACCAAACCTAACCAAAATAGAGCACACAAAAATGAGAAAGGTGTCTTTTTTCTGCGTAGGAAGCTGACACAAAGAAGGTAAGAAATCGTAGAGATGGAGAAAATTCGAAATCTGAAAACTTAAGTCTACTTTATGCTTCATGATGCACCTTTTGAAATACTTCCCAACTTGCCATTGGCTAATATCTTACCTTCTATCTGATGGAACTCGGCCAGATGGGTCCGGTCGACAGCCTCATTTCTGAAAACACGGTCTATGGAAAAGTACTTCTTGGGAGCAAAAGGTTTCTACAGAGAGAAAGAAACACTTAAGCAAAAGGTTTCATATATAATGTTGGACCGCTCTTGTAAGTAGGCAGCCAACTGTCAGAGGCAGAAGACACCAAGACATTTATATACTTCAGGCACCAAAATTGTACAACATATAAACATGTATATATTAATACGCGTGTGTGTGTGTGTGTCTGTATCTGTGTGTGTGTACGCATGGGCGTGCACGTGTGACTACAACGCTTGATTCAAGCATCCAAATATATACAATAGCACTCGACAACACAAGCAATTACCATGTCAAATATCATTTCTGTAAATAAATGACAAGAACCAGTGCTAATGTTGGTGAAAAAAATGAACTATCAAAGAGAATGACTAGGAAACATAGAACATCACGACATGGAATTGGAAGGCCAAAACCGTCGGAAATCAGACCTGTGCTAGTGCATAAAGCATCCTAGAGGAGACAGCAGTTGTGTGAGTACGAAGAAGGTTCTTGTTTGCTTCCTCTCTTTTCCAATCATAAGCATACCTGTATGTATAATGCCATATATTACTGAAAAGTTGAAACATACAAGGTAGTTCGTGCAGATAATGAAGAAATAAGCAGTACCCTCTCGATCCATAGCCACCAAACTCATGAACACGTTTCACCCTTTCAACATAATCTTCTGGCAATGTCCTTGTAGTTGACGGAGCTACAATCATACATTTAAACATCAATATTCAAAGTTAGATAGTCTATGAGATGCCATAAAAAAAGTAAGAGAAAGCCTTGCCAGTAGGCAAATGATTGTTAAACAACTACCAGAACAGCAAGTGCACATTCAAGAAATGAACCTTTTAGGAAGAAGGTGTCATGAGAGTCACGAGCAGGATGCTGCTGAGGCTGGAATAATGCATCAAAATTCCAGAAGCTGCGAGGTAGAGTAGAGAAAAAGGGTAGAACAATTAATGAACTGCAAAACTTCAAGCATCTTTACAAATATTCGCGAAGAACTGAAGATATTCAAGACCGAGGCAACAATAACTGGACAACTTGGGAAAAACATCAACAGATTCAGTAAAGTTACATTGACATTTTATTATTAAAACAAATGGAACATCAAGGTGATATATACCTGCTTTCCACAAAGTTGTTTGTAGGCATCTCCTCAAATCTGAGATCATAAAAGGCTGTAAATTATTTTTTACCAACAGCAGAAAAATGGAGAGGAGGCATATATTTGTTAAAAGTCTCACCCCATCTGAAGAAAAATGTCCTTGAACTGCTTCCGCACCTGACACACGAAAACGAAACTTTAGGAAGTTCATGAAGAGCAATGGTCACCCATTCCTAAACCAGAAGATATAGCCAGAAAAGTATAGTATAAATTTTAAAAATGAGTTATATGAATCACAACAAGCTTGCAGTAAAAGCATTCAGCAAAATTATCCACCTTAAGAAGGGGGTGGAGATGCCCAGCCTCAACAGGCTGTCCTTTAGCATTGAAGTTATACTCTTTGAACTCTAAATCTTTCCAGTCACCCCTACAGGTTCAAAAGCCAACTTTCTTTGTTACTACTTATTTCATAAGACAAAAACAATCGCATTTGTTACATGAAAAAAGTTAGGAATAGGAAGTACCTCTGTAGATTTTCCCGAGTCAAATCTGTGGCCACTTTCTTTCTTTTGGGAGCATAATTAGGACCTTTCTTTACAGAATATCCCTTCCATGTTCTGAAAATTAGAAGGAAAAAAAAAAGAAGACAAAAGCTTCAACCAATGTCTAACAGGAGGAAAACAAAAACCCCAAAAAATAAGAAGAGTAAATTACTGTGGTACTATAAGTTTTCTGGCTTTGAGAGCACTGATACTGTCTTTACCAATTTCCTGGCATGGAGAAAGGAAAACTTCGCCATATGAAGTAGAAGCAGCATAAGAACTAAACAAAATTCAACTTGAATAAGATGACACAAACCTTCCCTTCCTGTATTTGTAAAAGCAAGCCTTTCACTTTGTCTTCTACATGTTGAACCTACAAGAAACAAATTGGAGCTATTAATGACAGATTAAATGGATGCAGTACGACTGTATGTGACAGCAGACAAAACTGTTGCACAAACATGAATATAATCTATAAAATAGTTGTCATGATTTAAGACCCAAACGAGGAAATATGGAACAGTAGGAACAGAGCATGAAAAGTGATGCATGACAAATTCCTTATCTTAACAGATTCAACAGAATGAATCCAACCACTTCGAAGTGATTTTAATAGAAAGAAAGTTAACACCAAAGCACCAAACAGAATAAAACACAATTTTGGAGTACCTTCCTTGAGACTTGTTTTCCCATTTCCACCCACTTGTTCCTCCCAGCTTGAGAGCAGCCGATCTTGAAGACTGAAGGATCTAGCTTTTTCTGCAACAGCAAGATTTTATAACCATTGTGTTAGCATGCCATAAAATCCTAGTGTAACTTTCCAACTGAATATTATCAACCACACAGAAAGGAAACTAGACAGAATCAGATAGTATCATAGTATCCATGATAATCACCTGGAGTTCATCTTTTGGTACGCTGCCTTCCGCAGGCACGGCCAAGAAAAGTTGCACCTCAGGTGATCCTTCAGCAGCATATTTTTTCCCTTCATCAGTCAGCACCCATGTTTCCCTTTTAATGTCCTGCAAAAGTAAAAGCGTAAAAACGAGAACCAAACAGATGGAAATGTGAGATTTTTCAGCCACAGTTACGATCCCAATAGATTACACGCAAAAACCCCAGCACACGTAGATAAAACGGTTAGCCATTACTAGAGCCTGGACTTAAACCCCCAATGTTAATCACTTGAGCAGCACATCGAAATTCCAGATTATCATCCTGGCGGCCAAATTTAGATGGAAATTTCTAGACCTAAAACCAGGCAATACGCAGAATGGCGATGTGGGAGTACCTGAGCGTCAATGTAGCCAAAACCGTGGAGGCTCTTGATGACATTGACGACATCGTTGTGGTCGAGGTTGTGTTCGGCAGCGAACTGGCCGGAATCTGGGATCTGCTCATGGTTCTGCAGAAACCCTAGAATCGCCTCCTCCGCCATATTCTCTTCAGTGTTCCGTCTGTCGCTCACTCCGCCGGATTTCCAAAATACTTTGCGTTTCAGTTATGCCCTAACGCAAACGCATCCATTACATTTCAGGAAGATTGCATAAATTATTTATAATTTTTAACTTTCTTCTCCCTAATAACTGTTCCTTTGTTTGGGTCCGCATAATTTCAAAATGATCAATTTAGCCCTTTTATTCTCTTAATGATGTATCTTTTCTTTCAGTTTTACTTGAATAATCTTATTTTCTGTGTATTAATGGATTGGATTTTATACACATAAATTATGAAATTTTCACATGTTATATTCTGATAGATAAAATAATATAAAATATAAAAATACTTTGGTATTCATAAATTAGTATAGAAATAATGAATAAGAGGTTAAAATAGACGTAGATTCATGAACTCCAATCATAGTTTTGGACTTTTGGAAATTGTGCATGTGAGTAAGGTGAATAGTTTTACCAAAAGAAAATTAAAATGGATTTAATAAATCTAGAATTTCATTTAGGTAAAAAGCAAATAATCGTATATCGTTATATGCAATTTCTAAAGAATTTCATGCAACGCTGGGGTGTGCATGCAATTTTTAAAGTTTGGGGAGCGCTTCCAACATTTGAGGAATGGAAAACGGCGCCGTTGCGGCGTGGTAGGGTTTAAGGACTTCCCCTGTCAACCATCCTTCATTGAATCTCTTCTTCCAAGTCCCCGTAAGAAGAAGTTTACTCCGCAGATATACACCGGAAATGGCGTCGTTTTGTAGATCGGCAATTATGGCTGGTTCCAGGTCTCTAGCTTCTAGATCCAGAACCGTAACGCAAAGGTCCCTCGACCTTAAACCCACAACAAATTCGTCTCCTTTCACCTCTCTGAATAACTCTATCCCTCGCGCTTCCAGGTACTTCTCATTCGCTACTGATTCGAAGATCCAAATTTTTGCCTTTTGGTTGTCGGAAAAATCTCGAATTCGAACTAATTCCATGTGTTTGGGGTCCGGTAGCTTTTTCCGATGTCGGGAATGCGTAGTTTTCGAATTAATTAGATGACTGATATTTTGAATCTCCCCGCAAGTTTTGATTTTTTTTTTCGCATTGTGATGTATTGAGATTTTATGGGGTTTTTAATGGATGGATTATTGGAAGGGTTGTTTCGGCGTTGGGGAGCGTGGAAACGATGATTCCGCTTCATAGCGCCATTGCTTCTGCTCGGCTCCGGTCGAGTATCGCCGCCGATTCTTCCTGTTGGAGCTGGCTGTCTCTGGGTAATCTCTCTCTCTCTCTCTCATGCTGTCCATTCTGTTTGCTTATGAAATTTCCTGACTTAACTGTAGTTTGTGTCTGCATTTCTGCAATATTAGTGGTTACTATGCGCATTTTGGGTCGCGAGTTGTGAGAGATTGGACAATTTAAGAGGGTGATTAAGCTGATACTTTAACTTTCAGAGTGAGGGCATGGTTAATGAAACAGTCTCTCTTGTCAGATAAATCTTAGTGCCCCGCATGCTTTAGATTGTGTTCTTGAGGGGGTGAAAGTGGATGAGATAATGGTTGTCTGTGTGTTTTGTTTGGATTCAAAGATTGAAAATTTCTTAACCAGGCAGTGAAAGTTTCACAGAGAGAAACACCGGATAGTGCTCTGTGAAGGACGATGAGTTTGAGTATCGTGTTTTAAACGCTCGTCTTACGAGGGATCGAATGAATTTGAGAGAGGAGATGTGCATTTGATATGGTTTCTACAAAGAATTTCCTTAAAGAGCGATAAAGATTTAAACTTTAACGTGCTATTCTATTCGAAATGTAGTATATCTTCAGGATATCTCTGCGAATCCGTGCTTCTTGATTTGATACGCATAGTTAGTCGGGTTAGACTTTTAAGTTGTCCATGCAATGAATGGCAAGAAGAAGAAAAAAGAGAATGTTGCCCTGACTGTGTTCTTCTACTTTCGTGCAATAGGATTTGCTACTCCTTTGTGACACGGTCCGCTGGATGATCTATAAAAGGCGAAATCGTCAGTCAATGAAAAGAAACACAAACTGTTTTTCGGGGTTTCGGGATTTCGTTCAAGTGTTTGGAGTTCTTGTACTGCGTTTATCGTTATATCGGCCTACACTACACCATTTGGTGAATGGATTTTATCATAATGTCTCAGCAAGATCTGCATTAAGGAATCCAGTGCTGTTTGGTTTGATTCCGGTTCAGTAGAAGTAGGAACTCATAAGGATCGATGACAATGTCAGATTAAGATTTTGTTTTCATGTTCTTGGCGTGGAGATTTCTCGTCTCGTGTTGTTTCACGATGGCCTCTGATCATCTTTTGCATCTGTTGGGCTTTTTTTTTTTGTTTTTTCTCGTCTCCTAGAACTGGGAGTTCCTCGGTGACATCGGCCAAGGCGCGTCCATGCGGCAGAATGTGCGTTGGTAGCAGCTCAACCGGTTTAGTCCGGTTTAGCTTGTCTGGAACCGGACCTCTTTCCAATTCGGTTTTGTCTTTTTGAGAATTTTTTTTTTTTCATGAGAGACATGCGATGAACATGCGAGCATAAGTATTAAGTCGGCCAACACGACGTTTCTCGCCTGATTTGCCAATTTGGTATTATTATTATTTTAAATAATTTAATCCTAATTTTTAAAAAAATACTAAGTTGTTTTTTGTTGTTTCGTATTATTGCATTTGAAGCCGAAACCCTACCAACCAATATATAATTGAGAACAAAAATATATATATAAATCAAGCTACAATGTGTTACAAGGTAATTTTGAGTTCAAAATTATCTTATATATATATAAAAAAAAAAAGAAAATAGATGAATTTCGAACCCCACAAAATTCAGAAGATGGGAGTTGATCAACGCAAATTTCGCCACCTTTAAAGGGATTCTCTCTTCCAAAATAATTATCGGTTCCAGAAAAAAAAAAAAGGAGAAGAAAAAGATGCGAACAAAAAAAGAACAAAAGAGCCAAAGGGCGAAAGTGGTAACGAATCATTGCTTATAACTCCGATACATTATATTTATAATCATCATGACGTAATTACGCATTGTACGAACGAACTTTAATTAAAAGCTCGAATATTACGTTTCTTCTAACCCCTCCCTCTCATCGACTGTTAATGTAATTGAAATATATTGGACTCTGTTCAAGCCTTGCTTTTGTATTAAATGTAAAAGAAATAAATACGAGATTTAATTACTCAAACAACATATAATTGTTCATATATACATATATATATATATAGTTAATATAATAACATACATAAAGTCGTCATATGTTTTCTTCGTGCCTCTCTGTATCCCCCCACTTTGATTGAATACCCGCGTAACGAAATGGGCGGCACCATGCATTCTTTACACTATATACACATGTGTATATATATGTGTGTATATATATCAACCAGTTCAGGCTCTTGAAATTGGAACCGAAAGATCAACATAACAAACAAAAAAAAGAGAGGCAAGAAAAGTGACGCACATATATATATATATACATATAATGGGAAACTGCGGACTCAAACCGAAGGTTCTAACGGACGCCGGAGCTCCGGCACCGGAACAACCCAAAGAGCCTCTCCTCGAAGACCACAAAGCCGGCGCCGATAAATCTCTCAGCAACTTGTTCTTGGAGGTACGTATACAAGCTAGTATATCATTATATAGACAAGCACACACACACACACACATATGTATATATGTATATGATTGATCTTTCGTTTTTCTTCTGGTGATTGTGTTGTCGATCAACGACAGGACGAGGCGAGTAAGAAACTGGTCGGAGAAGAGAAACCCATGTCGGAGGCAGAGAAGGAGAAGACGGCGCCGGAAACTGGAGAAGAGAAAACAACTTCTACAGGGAAGACATCGACGGCGGAGACAAGACCGGCGACAGATTGTGATGACAGCCCAGCGAAGGAAGATAATAAAGTGGTCTATGTAATAAAGACCGAGGACGAGAAGGACACGGAGAAAGACGAAATGGCAGCATAAACACAGTACTATACGACCTCATGGCTTGCATGATGAATCCCTGATAATATATATATATAATATTGGATTGTAATCGTTGTTATTTCGCATGTTATTATTCGCTACGAAATCTGGATTTTTTTTATTATTATACAACTTCTAAACTCAACTGGTCGTAACAATCAATGAAGTCTTCGTAAAAAAAACAATCAACAAAGCCCTTGAAAAATTCATACAGCAGGTTGAACAAAGCCACTTGTAAAACTCCAGTGACCGTCTCCATTGGCTAGGAGCATGTCCCCATAAAGGTTGGGTTTCGACTCCAACCACTCAACTGTCGCATGTCAATTAAAATTGATTCACTTTTTACACTTGCGTCTGGACTTGAATTTACTCGGTTCTGTGCGTCCGAAGGATGCACGCTGTGATCCCTGTGTTAGCGAGCTGCTGTGAGACCACCGCTGTGACCGGGGGTCAGCGGGCCCGAAGGGCTGCAGCTGGGTCCGGGCTTCCCAATGCATTAAAAAAAAAAACGTTACAAGATCGCGTTTGACCATATCAACGCTCATGATCATTAATTCAGTTGTTAATGGGTTTGGGTCTGAGTCGGGCTAGACTTTTCAGGACCATACTTTGGGCCTTAATTGGGCCAGGAATTATAAATCGAATCCGGGTCCGGGTAAAAAACGAGGGGTGTATGGATGATGGGACGTGGAGCATTAAGGCGAGTTCGACAACCAACTGAACAAACCTTTTAATGCGGCACTTAAAGAGTCTCACCAAACGGTCCACCGACTAATACTCTCATTCGGAAAAACGCACGTCGTTATGACACGTGTCGACCAACGTTGGTGGTGTACGAGCACATCAATCCCTATGCAATGCATGTCAGACAATTATATACTGGTCGAATGATATGCCTGTATTTTGAGTGGTAAATACACGACTATTGAATGGATGGTATGATGTGGTATTGTATATCAGATAAAAGTGAAATAAAATAAATAAAACTTTAAAAAAATTGCGGTGAGGAATGGAGTCTTAAATCGATTCCTACCTTCCTCTGTGTCGGGGCGTTTAATGTTAGGTGTGCCATGCCACGTGATGGCGGTTCATCTCATAATTCCTTATACTAAAGCATCCTCTCAATTTTATTGCTATTAATTGCCCCCCGACGACCCTTTAATATATCTATACTGATACTACCAACCCAAAAATAATAATAAATTGG